AGGATTTTTGTGCCTCCCCTTGTTCCTTGAGGTCCATCACCCCCCCCGGCCGGGGCCCAGAACTGAGGGTCCGTCCACCATCTTGTTATTTCTTCAATTCTTTGTTCATCCAACTTTGATTCCTGAATACAGATTATCTGTATTTTGTTCTCATGGATCCAAGTTTTTAACCTGGCCCTCCTGTGTTTCGTTCCTGTATCACGAAGTCTGCGCACGTTCCATGACGCTATGCGCAGAATGCCCTTAGGCAGCATAGTTCAGGCCCGTGCCGAAAAGACCATGTATACGGCCGAATGAAGTCCCTGAGCCCTCTGTTTTTTTTCCGTCGTCGCGTGCCTTCCCCCCTTTTCAGGTTCCGTTCTTCGAACCATGTGGCTCTCAGTAGGTCCGGGAAACTATCTGAAAAGATAAGTTCCCGCTGCGGGGCGTTCGTTAGCCATTCAGCTATTACCTTGGCAGATATAGAATTTCTGAAAAGAATCAAATCCAGTTCTTCGTTTAGCATGGAATCCAGAAGCGAGAGTTTAAACCATTCTTTTCCCATCTCTTCCAGTTCTTCTTTGACTTCATTATTCATTTTAGCATCCAGAAAAACGAAGTACAGTCTCGCTCTGTTTCTGTTGTTGTCTTCCGCTGTAAAGCATCCCACTTTGAGTGAGGGTATCACCCTCACCTGTAGGAAATTCGGGATCATATTCTTCACTTTATTCAATATAGTCAATTCTGTCAAGGCAGCGTCCGTTTCCACAGGCGGTAATTCCATTGTATCATTCGCTAGCACGTTCGCCAGTACCACTACCCCTTTACTTGATTAGCACAAATAATCGGGATGAGGATTTTTAGAATGTTAGCATCAGCCCTGTCCAGCGTCTGAATCGGTTTCGTGATGCACAGTCCCAATGGGGCCTCCTCCTTCCGCCGTTACCCCTTGTTATCTCCTTCCCCCTGAACAAAATCCTCGAATTCCAAATCATCTTCCTCCATGTGATTCTGTTCTGAATTTCGTTCCTGTTCCGAATCATCATCCTTTTCCCCCAGAATCTTCAAGGCTGCTTCTTCCAACTTGTGCAACATCGGATCCCCGTATACCCCGGACTTTTCCATTCGCTCTTCCTTGTCTTTCTCCCACGTTTTTCTCGAGGAGTCTGAATCCCCTCCATCGGAGGGTTGATTCGGCTTCTCTTTCCAGCGTCCCCCTTTGCTCAAGCCCCCTGATTGCCCCTTTTTCAGGCTTCGGTTCTTGTTTTCGTTTTTGTGTGGTTCTCCCTTACCCCCTTTCCCTTTCTCGTTCTGCTTTCCGGTCCCTTTCTCTGGTTTTCCGGATTTACGGTTCTTCGATTGCACTGCTTTTGAATTCTTTTCTTTCGCATTCCGAGATGAGGGTTCTCCCTCGTTTCTCCCTTTCTTCAAAAGGTGAGCTGGCAGTCTGCGGAAGCCCACTTTTTGAGGTTCCTCCCCTTCAGGAACAAAACCTGAGAACGGGGTTTCTGGCGGGGATTGCCTGGGGCCGGGGTGGAGAAACGGACCCACCTCCTTTGCCGGGCATACTTCGTCTTTCTCCGTGTGGTAAAACATTCGACATGTGTCACACCAAGGTGTCTCTGCCGACAAAATCTCGAAGTAATAATCTCCTTGGTTCGGTATTCCCACCACCAATCGCGGTCTGATCGCCGCTTGCGCCATGCAATCCAAATCAAACCTGACAGATCCCAGTTCGGGTTCATCCTCGAATTCTTCCGTAGGGTGTGCTTTAATTACCAATCCGAAGGTTTTTTCGATTGCTTCCCCAAAAATAGGCATCAACTGCAAGGGCACTCTTGGGCCCCGCACCCAACAGACTTTTGCCCCCACCTCTTTGAAAACCTTAATTTCCGCCAAAGTCATCCAGGGGTAAAAGCGTACCTCGTATTCTTTACCATCGCATTCAATACAGTCCTCTTTTTTCTCCAACATCCATTTGATGACCTTAGTCTCCGAAGAGACAAAAAAGGCCAAATTCTTTCCCTCACTTTGGTAGCGATCCAGCATCATACCACGCATTTTCATACACCCGCACCAACTTCTTTTTCACAGAGTTCGAAAGAATTTTGGCATCGTTCATAAATATTATGGTCACTGCGTGTTCTTTCAGCCAAACCTTGTTGTATTCTGAAAAACGTTCATTCAGGTCAAAACGGGCGATGTCCTTCCCCAGCTGTGCCACCCCGATATCGAGGCCAGCCGGGAAGATGCCATCCTTTTAACATGCATCCATGAGAGTGTTAATCTGTTTTTTTTCTTCTTGTGAGTACTCCTTTTCGGGTGCATGTTGACCGCGTGTGTCTGTACTACGACTCATCTTTGACCGTTAAATACCCAGGCGTCAGTCAACATGGAGCAAATCAATCCAGATCTCTTAATAACTGCAACCTATAGGTCTCATAGGGAGGGAACGGTATCCACTTCACTTCCAAAAGTCACGTGTCCCCCGTCAAAGGGGTTTCTTTTTGAGTCTTCTTAGGTCTTCTTGTGTCTGCTATCTTCTTTACCGTCTTCTGGGTCGAGTTGTCGATAGAGAGAGGTTGCTTGGTCGCCAGGCCGATACCGGGAGGGACCGCCCAACCCCACAGGGGGTTGTTGCCTACTCTAGATGAGAAGACAGCGGGCCCATCCACTACCACCAGAGCAGAACCATGGTGGTCAAGCGGCGCGATGACAATCCTTGGGATTGTAGAGGAAAACACCAGCAGTCGTCGTGACAGCCGCAACCACGCGCGATCTGCGCTAACCGTGGTGGCCCCTGGGACCGCAACCTCCTCTCCGGGTCCCATTTTTTGACTACCAACAGTCCGCCACGGCGAGTAGCCCACGGTCAAACGCCCTCGCCTTCCAGCTCACCGAATGTGTGAAAATGGCGGGCGTATCTGCGCCTAGAAGGTGGAAAGATACACCCGCCATGTGTTGTTTGTCTTTTGTGTGTCTTTTTTCGCAAACATCGGTGATGATGGCGAGGCGACTACTCACCGAGGGTCTCGCCCCATTGCTCTCGAGATGCACATGCACAAAAAAACAAAAATCGCTAGGTATCTTTCCATGTTCTAGATGAAGATTCATTCTCTTTCTCGTTTTGCACTTGTCCAAAGCAGTAGAGCGAGGCGCCAAAAGTGTGATGCAGTCCTTCGGGACATCCCTTAAAATTGGAACGATACAGAGAAGATTAGCATGGCCCCTGCGCAAGGATGATACGCAATAATCCAAAAAAAAAAAAGAAAAACAAAGTGTGATGAATGGCATCCCCACACCACCACTCTCGAATTGTGCAAAATGAGAAATTCAATGAACTTCCTCCTAGATCATGGCCAGATGCACCCGCCACATTTTTTGTCTTTTCCACATTTCGAGAGTGGTGTGGCGAGGCCCGAAATGGCGGGGGCTAGGTCCCACTTGCTCGAATTAAGAGATACTGACCGTAGATAGCAAAGATCAACAGCCCAAATCTCCTAATTTGCGCAAGTGGGACCTTGCCCTGGGTGACCGAAAGATACGCGCATCGCGTTTTTTTTTTTTTTTTTTTTTTTTTTTTTTTCGGTTGCAATTGCAAGACGTGCACACTCGGGCACTAGTTGCACTACTCGCCATCCCCCAAGATTTCGAATGCATCTGGACAACAGGATGTCCACATGCAATCAAAATGTTGGCGGATGACGAGTAGTGCGACGAGGCCCTCGGTTTTCCGCGGGCGGGGACCTCCGCCATAATGGCCCCCCTCACTTCCTCCAGCCACCCTCGACAGCCCATCCTAACCCCCCCCCTCTCTCCCCACACCCCCCC